ATATATTATTTATAATAATAATAATATATATATATATATATATATATATATATATATATATATATATATATATATATATAATAATTATTTTTATTATTAGTAGCTAGGAAGTCTAAAGTTATTTTTACGAGATGGTTTGATAAAAATAAAGTTAGTATTTTAATGATTTATAATTTATTTAGTTATTTTGGAAATATCGAAAAAATGATGTATATGAAAGATAAGTCTTCGTGTTTAATTGAATATACTAATTAAGACTGTGCAATATTTATAAAAGAAAATCTAAATAATATTTAATTTATGGATTAAGAACTTAAGGTTTTTATAAAATATAAAAAAATAAAAATTATAAAAATAGATCTTTTATAGTAATTATGATAAAGTTTATATTAAAACACCTAGATTATCTGAATATAGCATTTATTAAAATGAGGACGGATCTGAAGAATATTTTATTTGTAATTAATTAAATTATAGATATTAATTAGAATAAAATTTATAAATTCTTAATTTTATTTGCACTCCAAATGAAAATATACTTATTTAAAATTTGCATTCAAATGCTTGTAATCATGATTTTATTTTTAAATTTTTCATTAGTTACTGTCCTTTTATTGAAATAGAGTATTATTTTTTTAACTTTAAAAATATAAATTTATATTTAAAGAGTAAATTGTCATAATAATTAATGCGTTCTTTAATTAGAAAGTAAATAAAAAGCACTTGAATTTATTGCATTTAATCATAATATAGAAATTTTTGGATAGTATTATTTTATTTTATTAATTAAAAAAATTTATTTATTTTATAATAGGAATATATCAGTTGGGTTTTATAAAAATAAAAATTCTAACAGAAAAAATATTCACGAAAAAAATGCAAATAATTGATTTAGGAATAATTGTAAATAAATAAATTGCTTATTAATTTTTTATTTTAACTTTATTTTTCTTTAAAATCTTTATGTATCTAATTTGTTTGAATTTTTTAAATATTAACAATTTTAATTAAAAATATTATAATATATTAGTTTTTTATAATTTTAATATTAGTTATAAATAATAATTATATTAGAGTATTCATATTTAAATATTAATTTATTTTATTTTTTTTTTTTTTTTTATTTTATTTTATTTTATTTTATTTTATTTTAACTTATTTTATTATATTAGATTAGATTAGATTAATTAATTTATCATTAAAATTTTTAAATTAATAATTAAGATTTTTTATTTTACAATTTTTATATTTTAATATTAAATAATCTAAACTTTGCATCTAAAGATTAATATTATAAACGATTAATTTTTAACTAATATTAACAAAACTGTTTTCTTTATTTATTTAAATAATTATATTATCTTTTTGATACTATAATAATATTTAAATTTATAAAAATTTATTTTAAGTATTTTTTAAAAAATTTCAATTTAATTATTTTAATATCATTATTTATTACAAAATAGTTTTAGTTTAATATTAATTTAAATTTTTTGTCATTCGTTTAATTTAAAATACAATTTTAATGTATTATTTTATTTCTTAAATAAATATTAATCTTCCGAAATAAAAATATTTATGTTTAAATAAAAATACTTTTAATTACAATTCTTTTATTTTTCTATCGAAAAAAATAAATAAAATAAAATAAAATAAAATAAATTAAAAAAATTATGAAAAGAAATGGATAAGAAGAAATATAATAAACATTAAAACACTCAAATATTAAAAAGAAAATAAAAAAAGAAGAACTTGATAATTTCGATTAATAAGATTTAGGCGAATTTATATAAAAATTTTAAATTGAAAATAATTTAATAAATAATAATTCTCCATCAAAATAATATCGTATTGAAAATTATGAAAACAAATATTTTTAAAAAAGAAGCCTTTCTTTTTTAAATTTGAATAATAATAATAAAAAAATTAAAGGAAAAGTAGGTCTTATTAATTTAGGAAATACATGTTATATAAATGCAGGTTTAAACTTTTTTTTTTTAATATTTAAATAATTTTTTAATAGCAATTTAATGTTTAAGCAATTTACAACCCTTGTGCGATTATATCATGTAACATAACGAAGATAAAGAAATTAATTTTAACAATAAGCTTGGGTCTTAAGGCCTTATTGTGAAAGCCTTTTCAAATTTAATAAGGTAATTTAAATTAAAATTATGATCAAAAAATTAAAATAAAAGATTAATATGGAACACAGATGAGAAATACATTAAACCAGATGAATTTTTTAAAGTATTATCCTATTGTAGTAAAGAAGTAAAAAAAATACAATAAATATTTTAATGCCTATTTATAAATTTTAGTATGCCTAAAAAAAATAATAAGATGCTTAAGAATTTATTTTATATATATTAGATAAATTACATGAAGTAAAAATTATAAATCTTTTTATATTTTATATAAAAAGCTCATATAAATAAAACTAGGATTTAAATAGAGTAACTTTAATGTAATATATACCTTAAAAGAGCATTTTAAACTTTTAAACTAATAAGAATAAGAAAACTTGCAGCAGAATCTTGGGGAGATTATCTATAATAGAACAAAAGTGTGATAGTAGATTTATTTTAAGGTTAATTAAAAAATACATTAAAATGTTTAAAATGCTAATTTATTAAATATACATTTGGACCTTTTATGTATTTAACTTTACCTTTAAAAAACAAGCCTAGTTAATAAAAGGTAACTTTGGAAGAATGTATTTAATAATTTTTAGAAACAGAAATTTTAAATAATGATAATAAATGGTATTTTTATTTATAATTAAAATATATATATTATTTTAATATAAAGGTTTTGTCCTAAATGCTAGGATTTTAATAAATCTGAACATAAAATAAATTTGTGGAAATTACCTGCAATATTAATGATTTGTTTAAAAAGATTTGAATATAGTAAGCAATCTAAGAATAAAATAAACACTTTTGTTGAATTTCCTATTACTTAATTTAGTATGGATTAATTTATTCCATAACAACTCTAAAAAGAAAAGCCTATTTATGATCTTTCTTCAGTTGTTTGTCATTATGGAACTTTAAATTATGGACATTATGTTACCTATGCAAAAAATTTTGAGAATCTTTCTTGGTATTTATTTAATGATAAACTAACTAAAAAATTAATGAAAAAGATATTCCAGGTGGGGGAGCATATATGCTCTTTTATTAAAAAAGTACTCTATAATTGATTAGAAGATAAACTATAAAAGAAAAGGTTAACTGGCCTCATAAAGTTTGAATATTTTTTCTTTATACTTTAAAGTATATCTAATATTAATATTTCTATTCTATAATATTCGAAATTTCATATATATTTATATAATTTTTTAATACACTAAATTTAATCATTAATTTTTTATGTGAAATTGTTTGAATATTTTTAATTTTTATAATAATATTTATTAAAAATAATTTATTTTTATTATGCTTGCATATATTTTTTTGTTATGCTTGTGTATAAACTTCTAGTTTCACTTTATTCTTTTAAACTTATAATATTTTGAATGCTAATTGCTTAAACAGTATTTTAATAATTTATAAAACAAATATATGATTCCTACTTTTATTGCTTTCTTTTTTAATATTCTAAGATCCATAAAACTTAGAAATTGTATGAATACATATTTTTGCTTTAACAAAAAATTATATTATTTTAATATAGTCGCTTTCATCAATATATCAGGAAATTCTTTTATTTTAAAAATAAAATTAAAAATTAAAAGCATTAATACAATTATATTAATAATTATTTAAAAATAATAAAATAGAATCCTTCTCATATAATTAATTTATTGCATACTTATCAATTTTTTAATAAACAGGTGTTTTTCTGGAATAATTATAAAATTATTTTATATAAACTAATTTTATAAATTATTTGAGAATTTATTTCTGACATTTTTAATAACAATTTATTTTTTATTATATTTAATTTTCGTTTATTTATATAAAGAATATTTGTTTATTTTATTTGTATTTTAAATTAAAATAAACAATAATCATTCTTATATAAAATCATTTTTAACATATAAAACTTTAAATTATTTTTATATTTATAAGAATTTACTTATAATATAGTAAAATTTCTTTAATGAAATAAATAAAATATTTATTTTATTTTTTAATATTATTTTTTTGGAAATTTTTTTAATTAATTTATTTATTCATGTAAAATAAATTTCAAATTGATACATTCTAAAATTATATCCTCATATCTCATTAATTAAAATTTTATTTCTCTTCCTTTTCTCTCCTCTCTGACTTTTTTTAAAAAAAGACCTTATATTTTTTTTAGATATGTGAAAATATTTTATCTCTTTAAGGGAATAAAATTAAATAACATATAAAATTAAAGCATATTTTTTTTTTATTCTATATTTTAATATAGATATCTTAACACCATACTCCATATATTTTAAAGTTATTTTTATAACATATATAAAATAAATAAATTTTTATTAAAACAAGGAATGAATGAATGCATATAAAAAATATTAATTTTTTTTTTTTAATAAAAATATTTCACTATATTTATTTTAATTTTGAAAAAATTCCATTTATTATATTTATTTTATGTTTTTTTAATCTCATTAGTTGAAACTCACTCCCTATAATTATCGAAAAATATATATATATATATATATTTTTTTTTTTTGGAAGAATTTATTTTTAATCTTTATACTAATGAATTTATATTAAATTTATATCCAAAAATAAAAATCATTTATAAAAATTTACTTTGAAAATTATTAATAATAATTTCAGCATGAATATTATTTTGTAGTAAATATATTGTCACATTTTTATCGGACGATTCTTTTATATTTTTTATATAAACTAATGAATTAGGTAAATTAAGGAATATTCGAATATATATAACTTATCAATACATATTACATTTTTTGTAAATATATAATAAACATTAACTGAAAATTAATATTTAATATTAATAAAAAATTAAAGACAAACACTTATATTTTTTTGTATTACTTGTAAATATTTTGATAATATAATTTATAATTTAAATAGATTTTAGTATATCTAATGTTATAAAGCTTATAAAGAAATATATATTCATGATGAAAAATCATAATTTTAAAATTAAAATAATATTAAAAGAAATATATAATTAGATATAATATTTAGAATAATATATATATAGAAGAAATTTTATTACAAGATAATATATATTTAATTTATAAAATCCTTTATTAAAACATAAAATAAAAATAATTAAAAAAAATATTAAAAAAATAAAAATTTAAGGAAAAAATTATATGATTTTCGGTGTAAGACATGGGGAAAGGGCTGATATATATTCAAGAAGAAGTCAAGAATTCAGATCTATAGAAATAAAAAGTGATCCACATATTTCCAAATTAGGTATAAAATAAGCATAATAAACAGGAAAATACATATAGGAAAAAATCGATGAATATAGAAAAGTAAATAATTTAGATGATGATATAACTATTATAATTATTTCTTCTCCATTTTTAAGAACATTACAAACAGCATATTATATAGCAAAAAACTTAAAATCAGTGTATGAAAATAGTATTTTTGTTCAGTATGAATTTTCAGAAATTTTAAATATGCATTAATTTTCATAGTGTCCTTTAGATAAGTTATATATTAAATAAAAAGATATATCTAAATATATTGATATTAATGAATTTTAGTTAAAAAACAATCTTTTTGAATCTTATAAAGATATTAAGTTTCCGGAAACCACATAAAAAACTGATTAGAGAGTTGAACAAGCAATGAAAAATTTAATAAACTTTTATTATGATAATTTTGATACTAAAAAATATACTATTATTTATATTACTCATTAATATATTTTATAAAGTACTGTATTTTTTTTAGCTAATGATGAAAACTAAGTAAAATAAAATTATGGTTACTGTTCTGTTGTTCAAACAATATTTTAAGATAAAGATAATTTCGAAATAAAAGAAAATGGAAGTAATTAACATATTAAATTATGAATTTAATTGATTTGTAAATGGTATATGTATTTTAGTTTTTTAAAATATTACTTGTTCATATTTTTTTTTTCATTTTTTATTTAATTTGTTTAAATTAAAAAAAATGGCCACCCATTATCCATTTTTTCTCATATTTTTTTTGTTTATTGGCTATTTTAAAATAATTAAATAAAAAATTAAAGCTATATGAAAAAACAACATATATTCTTTTTTAATTTGTTATTTGAGAAGATTTATAAATTTTTTATTAATATTATCCTTTCAATCCTTCAAAATTTTATGGTGCCGAAAATTATTTAATCTAATATACTCTAAATTCTTATTTATTAAGGATTTTGATTTAGACTTTTAATATTTTTTGGGTTTAAAATAAGTATGTCGATCCTTTCTTTTTTAATCAATTAAGGTTTTTTATATATAATTTGAGAAAAAATTCTAAAATAAAGCCTTTTGGGGCCATTTAATACTGATTAATGATTGGGCCTTAATAAAAAATTATTTTTGTAAAATTTAGATTATTAAATAAAAAATAATTGATAATAAAAAAATATAATTAATTAAAAGAGATGTTTTTTAAAAAAATATTTTTTAATCAAATTTTCTTAAAATAAAATAAACTATTAATGTTATTAATTGGTAAATTTTATATCCTTTTTATTTTAATAAGTTTAATTCTATTAGGTTATCTTTATGTTAAAAAAAAATATAATTTTATATTATTAAATAAAAGTTTCATTATTTTTTATTTTATTTATCAATCGTTTAAATTTATTATAAATCAATTCATAATATTTTAATGTCATTTAGTTAATTTAATTTTACTTACAAATTTCGATTTTATATCTTTTATTTTAAATTTGTTTATAATATTTAAAAATTAAAAAAATAAGTAATGCTTATTAAGCAAACAGTAATAAATTCGCCAAAATAAATATAGCCAGAAAAATAACTTTTAAGACCTATTAAATATTCTAAAGGCTAAAAAAGTATTTAGTCAAATGCAAATTAAAAAGAACCCCATAATCCAGAAAATATAAAAATTTAATCAAATCCTACAATAAAAGAATAAAATTTGGAAACTGAAAACGCATAAATATTAATGACTCAAAATGTTTAAGAAAGTAATGTTTTAAAGACAATTGTATTAGAAAAGGATGAATATTTTGATAAAAATACCGGTTTCGAAGATGCTAGAAAAACAAAATCTTATTTTGGAAGATATTTATTAATAGATTAGGCAGTTTCTACCTTTTCATTTCTTACTGTAATTATTACAGTTATTAATTATGATTTAGAATATAAAGATAGAAAGTATAGCATAGCAAATGCAATGTTATGGATTACTACAATACTAACTATAGGAATGTTAATACTTACAGTTGTTCGATATCAAGCAAAAATAAGTAAAAAAATAAATATAATTTTTTTCGAAATAAAAAAAGCATGGCTTAAAACAAGAAAAGTGATTTCAGAAAAATAAAATATATTATCTCGTATATATTTTATCCCTTTGATTTTAGAATTATTAATAAATGCAGCTCATCCTATGCCCTGGACTAGAAATATAAAAATATATTTTGTAAATGAACCAAGTAATAATTAAGATGTAATATAATATGGATATAATATTTTATATTATATAAATTAAACTAAACAATATATATATATATATAAAAAAAAAAAGTTTTATTATAATTTAAATGAAATATTAACTTTAATTATGTTACTTAGAGTGTTGTTAATTATAAGAACATTATTAATGATGTCTGAATGGTATAATAATAGAACATAAAGGGTATGTAATATGTATGCATGTGAAGCTAATTATCTGTATGTAGTAAAATGCATAATGAAAACATATCCGTATTTTTTGATTATTTCTGCAATGACTATTTCTATATTTATATTTGCTTTTGCAATAAAAATTTGCGAATCTCCTTTAGTCAGAGGGGATGTAGAACCTAAGAATTTTTATAATTTTTTTAGTAGTATGTGGAATATTGTTGTTACTATGACAACTGTTGGATATGGTGATTTATCAGCTAAAACGCATTTGGGACGATTTGTTATTTTTATTGTTTGTATATGGGGAGTTTTTATTGTTTCTATGATGGTTATTACACTTAATAATACTTTAGAAACTAATAGCTTAGAAAACAAAGCGATTGCTGTGTTGGACAGATTGTAATTGAAAG